TGATCATTCCCAACTATTATTGTCATACTGGTCTCTTTTTTATCCTACCTACCCTCAACCCCACACACACTTTGTGGTTAGTCCCAACCATTGAACAGTCCTCCCAACCCCTGTTTTCCCTGACCATGGCAATTACTCTTCTAGTGTGTGTGTGTGTGTGTGTGTGTGTGTGTGTGTGTGTATGGGCTGGAGTGGTAGCACACTGGTAGGGCGTTTGCCTTGCGCTCAGCTGGCCCAGCTGAGCCAGGTTCGATTCCTCCGTCCCTCTCGGAGAGCCTGGCAAGCTGTCGAGAGTATCTCGCCCGCATAGCAAAGCCTGGCAAGCTACCCATTACATATTCAATATGCCAAACACAGTAACAACAAGTCTTACGATGGAGACGTTGCTGGGCCCGCTTGAGCAAATCGATGAACAACGGGAGGACAGTGCACACACACACACACACACACACACACACACACACACACGTGTGTGTGTGTGTATATTTATATACCACAAATGAATGCAGTCATTCTTTATCTGTCCCTCTTCTTCTGACTTAGCATGATATTCTCTATGTCTATCCGTTTATAGGCAAATTTCATGACTTAATTTTTCCTTATAGCTGTGTAGATGTGCCATAGTTTCTTTATCCATTCTATCCATTCATCTGGTCTTGAGCACTCAGGTTGTTTCCAGATTCTGGTTATGGTGAATAGCGCTTCAATGAACATAAGAGTGCAGATGTGTTTCTGCTGTGTGTTTTTGAACCACCAGGGTATATTCCCAGAAGTGATATTGCTGGGTCAAATGGGAGCTCAATTTCTAGTTTTTTGAGAAATGTTCATATTGTTTTCCAAAAAGGCTGGACTAGTCGGCATTCCCACCGTCAAATGAAGGAAAGTCCCTTTCTCCCCACATCCACACCAAAACTGGGTGCTTTTATTCTTTTGGATGTTTGCCAATCTCTGTGGTATGGGATAATATCTCATTGTTGTTTTGATCTGCATCTCCCTGATGGTTAGTGGGTTGGAATACTGTATGACTGAAATCCAATCATGAACAGCTTTGTAATGGTCTATCTCACAGTGATTCAATACAAAAGTGGTTTTTTTTTTTTTTAAAGGAAAGTTTTAAAGCAAGGAGTGGCCATGAGATAAAGCAGTGGGGCAGAAAAAGACTGGAATCTGGAGATGTGAACTGGGATCTAGGCAGCAGGAGTACCATGAGAATGGAAAAGAATTTACTGGGCAGATATTTCCCAGGGGGAACATCCGTAGAGTTCAGTGCAGTGAATAAAGGAAATCGGAGAGAAGAAAGAAGGATTATGGGTTACTCTATTAAAATGTTTTGATTTAAGAGGTTACATGATTTTCTTGCCTGATTCCAAGATTCACAGCTCTTCTAGAAAATGTGGGTAGTTGACAGCAGCAACTCATTTTCAGTGCTTAAATTATTCCAAGTTCATTTATGAATATTTCATTTTTAGCTAACTAATTGATCCTGAAGCTCTGAATTATGGATGTAGCAAGATGTTAGACTGGTTTTGTCACCATCGTGTTAGAAGCTTTTGCAAGTTTTCAGGGCCGGTTGTCTATTTCTTCCCTGACAGCCAGATTGCACATGCTCGTCGTTTAGCTCACCAGAATTTATAGGTACCCGGTTAGGCACCAGTCAGGGGATTAAAAAAAAAATTATCAGGACAAGCCACCTGCCTTCAGGGAGGCACCAATTTGTGAGAGGAGAGATGTGTAATTAGTCTTGTGCCTTGCAGATGGTGCTGTGGTTTTGCAGTATGGCAAGCCTGGTGGGCACACACATCTCAGTGAGAAGATGCTGGATCCTTTGGTGCAATGTTTGCCACACCAGAGAACAAGTGCATTCCCCACAAACCAAGACTCCTGACACCATCTACAGACATTGAGGTCCTTAGTTTCACCCTCTCTTCTACACTGTTGACTATAATTAAGGGGTTTCCCACAGACTGTCACGTTTGATAATTTGCTAGAATGATTCGCAGAGCTCAAAAAAGTGCTATGCTGGTTTCCCTGGGAGAAATTGCAGGTTTGGTTCACAACTATCATAGTAAATCTCCTATTGCAATAAAGAAAGCTATAGTTTTTTTCCCCTCCCCAATGCATATAAAAGTTATGTTTATATTGTGGTCTGGTAAGTGCACAATAGCATTATATCTGAAATAATAATGTATACACACCCTCACTAAATGCAACAAAGAACTTGTGAATAAGCACAGGCTATTGGGAGAAGGGCTGATAGACTTCTTCAGTTGCTGCAAACCTTCATCTTGTGAAAAAAAAGAGCAGCATCCACCAAGCACAGTCAAGCAAAGCACAATGAAACAGGGTGTGCCTGTGCTTGGTTATGGCTTTATTATACCAAAGGGACAGATCAGGGCCAGCCAAGGGACAGAGGTGCGAGTTAAGTCGGAAGGGGTAGGCCTCAGACTTTTGGCCACACTCTCCCCAAACTCCTGTGGAGTCTCTGAAGGCTATTGTCCTCTTTCAGTCATTTCAGAGTTCTGAGATGACAGAACCAGGGAAGCTGGTTCTGTCATCTCAGAACCAACCAGGGAAGCTCACTTGAGCCTTTGGTGTCAGGATTGTTACTGGGGCTTGATGATGTGTGCCTAGGTGATGGATCTTCAGCCCCAGCCCTCCTGGGAATTTGACTACCTCCAGTCTCCAAATATTGGAACTGATGTGCCATGCCCCAGAGTCCCTTCCTAGATGTCTGGTGATGGTAGCTCCCTAGCAAATAGACTCTCCCCTCAGGCAGGTCATTCCAGGACATGCCCAGGAGCTGAGGGCAGAGTCCTGGCCTGTGTTGAGGTTTACTGCCAAGCTGCATCCTCACGAGCCTTTCACAGGGGTAGCAAGACTAACTGGAGATGTCACTCGGGTTAGGCCTGGGCCACCGACTTATAAAAACTCTTGCTTCAGCTTAGCAGATGTGACACAAGGTGGGTGTTACAGAGCCTCCTCTAATTCTGCTTTTCTGACTGTTCATTGCTGCTTTAGTAGGTTGCTCAATTGTATGATTTTGAAGTGAATAGTTTGTCCTTATTCTGTTTTCTCTTCCTTTCTTCCCTCTTCAGCCATCATTCCATACATAACAGCTGGGCCTCACTTCCTTGCAACATTGGTTCTTCCAGTAGGATCCAGGGGGTAGATGGTTAGGAGGGTGTTGTGTTCCAGGTTTGTTTGTCTGGTTCTCCTGCCTATTGTTAGTACTTTTTCTTCCCTGTTCTCAACCACCTTCCCTGCTTCTTTTCACTCTCCCAACACACGACGTGTAGTGGAGAGAAGGCCATCACTGCTCGTTGCCCTGGCCGAGGAAGGCTCCAGTTTGAATCTTTCCATCAAGGATGACCCACCCTTGACAGTGCAGTTCAGCCAAAGCTCTGTTCCCAAAGGCCTCCACACCTCTACTGCTAACTCCCCATTCTGTTTCCCACTCTTCCTCAGTCCTTGGATACCCTGTGTCCATAGCCCACATTGTCACACTCTTCTTCCCTGCAGTCTCTGCTCCAGGATGGCCCTGCTTTTGGTACCTCTGGCCTCCCTGTTGAACTCAGAACACAGACTGATCTGCTTAGGGGATCCTTCCTTGGCTGCTGTGGGCAGTGTGGCTATATCTTAGTGAGCCATGGCTGTAGAGGGGCAGGGAGAAACCTAGGTGCCATCAATTTTTTTTTTCTTTTCTTATTCCTTTTTAGAATCTAAGCACCATGATTTACAAAGCTGTCAACCAAAAAACTTCAGGCATGCAGTGTCCCAACTCCAGTCTAACCACCTGTGTCAGCATCCCTCCCGCATTGTCCTCAGCCTCTCTTCCTCCCCAGCCCCTTCTCCTTGATTACCCAAGATGGGCTGATCCTTCAGATCCTTCCTTAACTGTGATGTGCAGATTTGAACAGAACTGCTGAGGTGCCGAAGAGTAGAATGGGTAGGATGCTTGCCTGGCTGCACATCTAACCCACATTTGATCCCTGGCACCCTGTACTTTGAGCCTTTGATCCCTGGCACCCTGTACCTTGAGTGATCCCTGAGCACAGAGCCAAGAGTAAGCGCTGAGCACTGCTGGCTATGATCCCAGAATTTGGGAATAGAATAGTCATATATTTATATACTATCTACTGAAATGCCATGTCTGTGTCAGAGAGAGGACTCTTAAGTGCTGTGTGAGCTCTCTGTGTGACCTCTTGGGGATATACCTCAGTCATACCATGGAGATCACAGCATTCTACCATCACACAATGATGTGATGTCCTCTGACATTACTCGCTCCTCTTAGATGCTCCCCTTCATTCTAGAGATGAAGGCCTTAAGTATGAAGGCTAGTTAAGAGGAAAGACAAGTTGTAAAATGATTTGAAACCAAAGTAGCTCTCATCATGACATTTAAAATCACTAGGTTGTGAAGGAACTTGAAAAATACTGTTATTGTCTTTAGTCCTATAATTTGTGGCTTTAGTTTGTAATATTTTCTCTCTCTCTCTCTCTCTCTCTCTCTCTCTCTCTCTCTCTCTCTCTTTTACCAGAACAGTTTGGTGCTAATAATTAGGACGCCTTGACATAATCTGAATAGTTGAGTGACTCATTAAGAGCATGTAAAGCTAAGCAACCTTTGAGAATTCTTAACAAAGAAATCCTTAACCCTCCTTTGGGATCTTGGCTTAAGTGGAGTTGGTAGTTAACTAGGAGCATGATTTGTCATCTGGGGGCAGAGGGTCAAACTAAAATTTTCCCTCCTTTACTGTATATACCTGTTCCAAGTTTTACCCAAAATAGTATGTTAAATTCAGAATGTTAGAAAATTGTGTCTAGATGCAAAAATTACAACACTGAAAATAATGCTTGCGACTGTTCGTTTGGGAGTTGCTCCAAACTTTTGGATTCCAACAGAACCTGAAACAGGCACATTTCCCCCTTAGACGTAGAGGACAGGCCATGCGATGCCCCCTCCTGTGACTCACTGGCATCTTCTTGTTTCCCTGAAAGAGCGTTCAGTAACGAAGAGGAAGAGAGGCCGGCCTAAGGGCTCTACCAAGAAGCCCAGCAGTGAAGAGGAGCCAGCAGTGAACGCAGGGGGTCCCAGCAGTGCCAGCCCGGTGGTTCCATCAGAGAGCAGCCTGGCGCTGAGCAGCTTGGAGTGCAGCAAGTGCTGTCGGAAGTTTTCCAACTCACGCCAGCTGCGGAAGCACATCTGCATCATCGTGCTGAACTTGGGTGAAGAGGAGGGAGAAGCAGGTAAACGCTGCCTCAGTGCTGACAGTGCCTTTTTCCCTACAGAGATGTGACTCCTGGAAGCACTTTTTTCCTGGCTCAGTTGTTCCTTGGAAATAGGTATTCTGTCTGGAAAAGTGCTTATTTGTTGCGAGCACTGTCAGTGCCTAGGTGCTCTTTGACCTTTATCTGTCTTTTGGTACTTGATGTCCAAGTTCAGAGTTCAAGTCATATTTCTTACCTCTCCCTGCTGGAGCCTCCTCTGACCTCGCTTCTTTCCCGGTTACCACTTGACCCCCTCGTCTCATGCCATACCCCTTCTTCCCTCCATTTACATGATTTTTCACCCATGGCTCATTGGTCTCTTCTTGTTTCCTTGAAGAGTGGTTGGAATATACTGTGTGCTATTAGGGGACTATATGGCAACCCATTGAGAAACACTGTTCAGTAGATGCTTTGCGATTTGCAGAGGGTAAAACAATCAACCTCTGGTATGCTTGCATCTAGGTAAGAGGAAAGAGTTTAAACAGAAAACAGTATAGGACCTAAAAGAAAATATAGTGGGGATGGGGTGAGGAGTCAGGTGCGGAACAGGTTTGGATGGCATTTGAAGCAAAGGAAGAAGGGTATGTTAGTGAATGGATTTTACCATACGAGCAAAAGTATGGACAAGATGTTCAAGTCCCTTGTGAGGGACCTGGATGGGCTACCGGTGGCTGCAAATGACACAGTCATAGGTATTCTTGAAGGAAGTGGAAACTGCGAGGTACGTCTGCAGATTGTTAGCCAAGGCTTCAGTGCTGGGGCAGTTCCTGAGAAAGGTTGAAGAAGGTGCGATGTGATCATGCTCTTGCACATTTCCTGAGTGGCTTTCTCGGAGGGGTGGTACAGGTTGGACTGGAGGGCTGAGAACCTCTGCTCTGGGTTTCGTTCTCTTCTTTTGAAGTCTTTAGACTGTGCCTCTGAATTTCAGAATGCTTACAGTGTTTTGTGCTGTACTGGCTTGTTATGCGGGAGACAGTTCTAGTTCAGAATACATGCTCTGGAATGTGACTTCCTGGATTTGGAGCAGGTCTCACACTCACAAACTTCATCCTTCCCCAATTTTCTTATTTGTAAAATGGGAACAGAAAGGACACTGTTTTGTATGCTCACTTTGCGGATTAACTATGACAGATTTGCAGGTGCTTAGAACAGTTTCTGCCACTGCAAAAGCACTCTGTTACTATACTACTAGCCTTGTGTACACAGTACTGTTGTTATCTTTCTATTTAATTAATTAATTAATTAATTTTGCTTTTTGGGTCAAAGCTGGCAATGCTCAGGGACTGCTCTTGGCTCTGCATTCAGGAATTACTAATGGTGGTGCTTGTGGGACCATATGGGATGCCAGGGATCGAACCAGGGCCAGCCGCATGCAAGGCAAATGCCCCACCCACTGTATTACTGCTCCGGTCCCATCTTTCTATTTTATAGGTAAGGACATTTGGACATTTTGAAACAAATTTGTCCAGAGTTCTTCCTAGTTACAAGAAAAAGCTGCATTTTGAACCTAGGTTATTGACACTGAACCCCATTTTTTTCTCCCCAAAATTGTTTATCTTCTTTTAATAAATTTATTTTGGGGTTTGGGACCACACTGGGCAGTGCTTGGGCTGTTCCTGGGTATACCAGGGTGCCCTGTTGTGCCATTAATTGAACTCAGGATCTCACAGATGCAGAGCAATTCTTCTTCCCAGCCACCTCTCCATCCCCCTGAAGCCCAGTTCTATATTATTTACTGTAAATCCTTCCCAAGAAGGAGGCAAGGCTTCTGGTGTGCAAAATTTTAGGACGGTATCAGTAAATTATAGTGTCATTTACCTGTAGGATAACATTGGTTTGTTCTTTCTTCCTTGCCACAGGGAGCTTAGGTTTATTACGTTACTCCCATCACAGTGCTCCCATTCCTCTGTGTTTACTTGTAACCTTTTTCTTTGTGCTCAGCTTCCCCAACCAGTCAATCACCTTTATCTCCTTATCAGACTCTGTTCACTTGTGAATATTGCTTTTCTCTTCCCCTTAAGTCTTTTGCGTAGTTAATTCAGAGTAATGTCTTTTTTGTATAGACACAGAAAGACAGTTAATGTTAAGCTTTTGTAACTTGGGAGTTAATTGACTCTGAATGATACTTATTCCTGGGAATCTGTTCCCTTGACTTAAACCTCAGTTGTTCTTACTTCCTAGCACCCCCAAAGCAGGGTCCCAGCGAGGGATTTGATGGACCCAAGGCAAGCTCTGAGCTACCGTGGCATCAAAATGGGCCAGGCCAAAGCACCATGATACTTAACTATAAGTTAAGAGCATGGTCATGGACAAATTCTGTCATAATACAAAAAGTAACAACTGAATTAGGACCCTGCTAGGCTAGGAAAGATTAATCTGGCCTGAGCACTGTAGTCTGAGATCTACAGTGAGATGTCCTCAGGAGAGCCACCCTGCAAGCTTAATGTATCTCTTACTGTGTCCATACAAAATAATATTAAGAAGTAGAATTAAGGTGTTAATTAAGATGTTAATTAAGGTATTGGACTAGGGAGAGGAGAAACACCCCTAAGTGGTATTTTGCCCTTGAGTGGAAGAAGGGATTTCATATGTTGATTGTGCTATCAGATGGGATGTGATGGCTGCCCCTAATGTGTGGAGTTGGTGAGAGATGAGAGAGAGAGAGAGAGAGAGAGAGAGAGAGAGAGAGAGAGAGAGAGAGAGAGAGAGAGAGACCAAGGCGGTGAGTGGGAGTGTGAAGAAATGTATAGGAGAGACAGGAGGAGACTGGAATGGGGGGCATTGTGAAAGTAGATTGGGGAGATTAGTGAGATTTGAAGAGGCTCGTGGGGAGAATGGAATAAATGGCAATTGATCACAACCAGCCTGGCCCTCATTCGTTTGCCGATGGCATTGGCCATCCCAGGTGAGGAAACAGCTTGAGACCACTGAACGCAGGTGGCGAGAGAGGGAGCCGTGGGGTTTCCCTAATCGTTTCGTGATTACACATTTACCATCGAATATTTATCAAACATTTAGGCTGGTGGCCAAGACTTATTGCCAGTATTTGTGCGGATTGGGGAAGAAATAGAAAGATCTGTTCTTCGAGGCATCAGTTCTATGGTGACTCCATGTGCCCTAACTAGACAAGTGTCCAAACAGGCTCTGACTGCAGGAAGGCCACTGGCCTGGTATGGACTGGAGATGGTTCTCTTGGACAGACAGGGTGTGCTGAGATTTCAGAGAAACGGGCATCAGGGGGGATGGGGGGTGGGAGGGATACTGGGATCAGTGGTGGTGGAGAATGGGCACTGGTTGAGGGATGGGTTTTCGATCATTATATAACTGAAACCCAAGCACAAAAATTTGTAAGTCTACAACTGTACCTCATGGTGTTTCACTAATAAAAATTTAAAAAATATTTTAGAAGTGAAGTGACTGAAGAGGGAGGATTAGCCTGTAGCTCTTGGTTTCCAGTGGATTTGCAGCCACCAGGCTGGTTATGCAACCATTCTCCCTCATTCCCTTCCCTCTCCTCACAGCAGCACCCACCTCCCCAAACCCAAATGCCTGCCTGTAAGCACATATACGCCTCCTCCCCAGACTCTTTCTCTTGAACAGATAGTTATTATTGTCAGTGGCAGTGCTATAATCAGAGGATGCAGCTCTCACCATCCAGATAGCTGTTTGTACCTGCCTGCAAGTTCTTTGCACATTGGAGTCTCTGGGCTTATAAGCTGTGTCCTTGAGAATCTGTTTTGCTTCAGTTCCTTTACCAATTTTGTCTTGTCAAGCCCTGTCTGCACAGTCATGGCTGGAAATCAGGGCTATGACTCCAGTGATACCTAATTCTTTCTGCACCTCCTACTCCAGACCTTGGGCCTGAGTCTCGCTTGAAGCTAGCCTGAAACGTTTAGTCACTAACCACTCCCAAGACAGCAATCTTCAATGTCTTGCCTTAGAGAAAAGTACAAGTTGTTCACCTGCAGGTTCCAAAAGGGTCTTCCCGTGGAACTCTATGTCATGATTTCTCTCCATTCCATACTGTATTTGTTGTTTGCACCAACCGTGGCACAAGGGTTAAAATACAGGTTATTTCTTTTTATTTTTGTGTTGCGAAGATTGTTCTAATAAACATTCCTGCAGTGTATGTATATGTGAATTATCTGTATCACAAAAATATATGTTTTTCTAGACTTACACTGTTATTTTTGTAGGCTACATTTCTAGACATGGAACTCCTGGATCACAAAGCCTATTTCTTATAGTCAAATTCCTCCCTGAAAGCTCATAAGATTTTACATTCGAGAAGTATATGCAAGTGCCTACTGAACGATCATTTTATTTTCTTTTTTCAAACCTGTAATGATACAGAAAATACTAAGAAATTTAAACTGATCCAAAATGTTACTGCCTGTGTATCACAAGTATTACACATCACAATTACTACAATATATAAAAAAAGGCAAGAAAGATCCTGCTCACTTTTATATGCAGCCATATACAGTTTCTAGAATAGGATCATACATAAATGTTTTTTTTTTCAAATTTTTGCACAGAATTTTTTTCACACCAGTGCTTCTTTTTTTTTTAATTTTATTTTTTTAAAATTTTTGGGTCACACCCGGTGATGCACAGGTTTGCTCCTGTCTCAGCACTCCGGAATTACTCCTTGCAGTGCTCAGGGGACCATATGGGATGCTGGGAATTGAACCCGGGTGGGCTGTGTGCAAGGCAAATGCCCTACCCACTGTACTACCACTCCAGCCCCTCACACCAATGCTCTTTGCTTATTAAGTGATGTTATAGCTTTCTACTTTACAGGTGCTGTTCTCAGTATTTTCCAGCTATAATCTCACTTGTCTCTCACATAGAAACTTTTAGAACTAGACTCTATTGAAGATTCCATTGAAAACTGAGACCTGGTGAGAGCTGGAAGTTTTCTGAGTGAGGCCATGCACCTCTGAAGTGGTGGTGTTGGGACTGACGGTGCTGCTGCT